ACCATGCAGGAAACAGAGTATCTACAAGGGAAAAATACTCAATGGGGCTTTTCTCAAGTTGTGATTAAAATGGATAATTGTTTTCATGTCAAAGAGCTACAGCATGCTTCTGGACCCATGCCTGTTTGAAAGGAAAGTGACAATTGCTAGAGGTGCTTTTACCACCCATTTTCAGAGACTCCAACCAAACTATGCTTGGTCATTTTTCAAACAGGTGTTATACTCAACCTGTACTTCACAAACTGTGCCAGCTACTCTTGTGCCTCTAGGCACAATTCAAAGCACTCATTTTAACATTTAAAGCCCTGAACCTAATGGAGCAAATATCACGTCTCTAGATGCAATCCAGATGCAATGAGATATTCATGCTCTACACTGTATGCTTTTTCTATACAAAAATCAAAAAAGCACAGGGCAAGTAGTATAGAAATCCCTGAAACCCTCAGGCCTTAGAATGTTCTTTTTACAAAGGATTTCAATATTATTTTACTTGTATTTGACTGATTTCTCTAGTGAACCTAGTAGCTATGTTATTATGTACTGAATTGCTTTTCCAATTTAACTGTGCTTTCATTTTTGTTAAGGTGTTTTGAGAACTCTAGAAACTAGACAAAAAGAACAGAATTGCATCGTTAAGCTGATGTGTTACTGTAGAAACAATGTATTTTAATATACATCTAAACATCTACTAAACGTTAGCTAAAATATAAAATGCTACCAAAAGCATTACTGGTGTCTCAAATCCTTATAGGCGTGAGCTTTAAAATACATATTTGAGACTCACTGTCAGGATCTGAGCTGTTCTGATGGCCAGAACCACCACCAGCACTCTATTTGCAGGGTCCCAAGGCCTGCTGGACCTCTCATTCTACTGACTAGTGCCAGCTGGAAGCCCTGGAGAAAGAGCTTTATAAGAGCAAGCTCTTCTTTTCAAGAACTAGCCCAAGCAGCATAGGTACTGCTGCGTTCCTGGTGTCTTGCTGTTGTACCTGCCTCTTGCCTGTCCTATATCCTACCTCTCTGGTGTTGCCCCAGCAATGTAGGTTTGCCTGGGAGATGGGGTTCAGCTCCTGCATCTTGCCTGAGCTTTGCTGCATCTGGTTCCTGTTGACTTGTGTATTTTGCCTTGCTGTGTCTCCCACCCTGTCCAAGGTACCTGTGCCTCTGTTTGCTCTCTGAATTGCTGACCCTTGATTTTTTCCTGACTGTGTCCTTGTTTTGCCCTCATGCATTTTTCTGGTTCCTGACCTGGGTTGGTACCATGACTATGATTTGGACTTGCCATTAAACCCTGCTTTCACACCCTGTCTTTCCTGAAATGGTGTTGCCCTGGTCCTGGTGACTCTGTTGGTCTGGTCTTGGCTCTGGCCATCCATGTTCTGGCTGTAGACCCTGACACTCTCCAGTATATATGTACTAAGATACATAAAAAGTTTATAGTTTCATTGTGCACAAAGTTATTTACTAGTGCATTCCAAAACAAGTGCCACAGTAGTAAGCAATCTACCAGTTTTGTTTGTTTTGACATGGAAACAACTAGATGTGAGTTTCGCTCATATAGAAGAACCTCTTGCTTCAAATTCACTTACACTGAAAAAAAAATCCATCAATTGACAACAATTGATTGGAATTACTTCCAATCATGTTTCTCACCAGCTGGGGAGACTAGCACTAGAAAGTTTCTTCTAACTTTCTGCATGAAAATATGAACCATACATATCTTTAAGCTCAAGAGCATGTTATCACTACAGCAGATGCATAAAGATCTCTAAACAGGTTATCCCAGTGACACAACTGGTTCCAACAGAACATAAAAGGGATGCAGCAGTTTTTCCTCTCCTAGCATGGGGTCAATTTCCTCTAGAGAACTAAGAGACTTTCAGGAGAAGATCTGGAGGGCAAGGGATAGGAGAGGAGAAAATCTAAATGTGTGACATTGGTTTTATTCTTGAAAGTGAAATACCATGTGTAATCCATAAGTGATAAGTCATTCTTCATTAAAGCAGTGCTACTGTTCTTACACCAAGTACTAAGTCACAAACTTAAATTTAAAACTGCTCAGAATAAAACTTAAAACTGCTTGCTGCTGTTCCACAGAAAGAAAAAACATTGCTCTAGCACCTATTTCCTTAGGATGTGATTGCTTATCTCACTCTTTGGAGATTTTATATATGCACTGACAAGTCACCATATATATTTTACTTGACAGTGACCTTTTAGGATTTGCTAAGAATATTGATGATTTAAATGATATTTCCTTACTATGAATTGCTTTTATGTTAGGAGTATACCAAGTGATCTACAGATAAACTTGCTTACTCAGAGGTTTCCTTCTTCCTACTAGAATGGCAGAATAGATAAAAAAAACTGCATTTTAACCTATTTTATTATTTTTACCTCATGTGTCAGAAGAGCCCCAGGACTGGTGTACATTTCTACAAATTCTGGGAGTATTTGTGGGGGGTGGGGGAGGCAGATACGGATCCGCTAGATCCACCACCTCTCATTCCCCATGACTCCTTCAAGGAACTCCTACTTTTTGCCTCTGTCAACAGCAGCTGGGATGGTGCTTAATGTCAGATCATCTTCAAACACAGACCTTACTCTGCATCCTTGGAGGTGAAGATCTAAAACATCCTATGGCCCTTGATATTGCACCCGTAAAACAATTACATAGATACAATATGATGTCTCCAGTTGTTTACAACTTGGTGAAGCTATGTTTTAATATTATTAATCGTTCTTTACAATAATGAAGTTGCAGATGTTCTCATGGTCTACTACTATACTTAAAACATACACCCAAGAGTTTAGTAAGTTTTATTTAATAAATGCTCTACTCTTTGACAATGAAACTACTTCAGTTATTTAAAAATATCACTTTGAACCTAAGGCCGCATAAGAAATATTTGTAAAGTTCCGCTAAAATCAATAGGCCTTCCTTGCCTTCTAACTTCCTTTTCAGGCACCTACACACATGTTGGCAGACATGTTACCAGTACATTTAGGGGTATCACATCCCACTATATTTTAGGCAACAATACTACAGATATCACTGCTAAATGGATATTTAGCCTTAGGAAAACTAACATGGCTGAACTGTGTGGCCCACACATGCCCAGAAATTACTGACCAAAGAAGCACCTTGTCTCATGATCTTGTAAGGAGTTAGCAAGACTGATTAATATTAATAAGCTGTACCAATTCTGGAGCTTGTGAACAATTAACATCTAACCTAATAAAGTTACCTCAACAGTAAAATCATTTCTCCAAAGTGATGAAACAACTTTGTAATAATTCATCATATCACATGGGAATGTAACCTAAGTTTTACAAAATCCTGTGCATTTCTAACCAGGATAAAGTCTTATTCTGTTTAATGGAGAGGAATCCCAGGGAAGAATATATATGATTTCAACCTTTAGATTTCTCTTCAGACAACTAATGAAGTTAACAGGAAATATTATGTAATCTGTTTAGAGAATTCATATATCAGCAGAAGAATGACAGGTTACATTAAAAAAGACAAGACTGATTATACATCTTTCAAATCAATAAATGCAGAATGTGCATAACAAGGTAAGCCATATTCAGCTACCTCGAAGTAAAATATAAAGGAAAGCTTTCTTCATATTTATCTCATCATTGGGAATTTGAATATCTATGAATTTACAATCTCTATTAAACAGATTAATCAAGTACAATAGCTTTAACTAGTCAGTATGCTGCAAAGAAAATTTCTATCTCATTCCATAAGAGGTCTGAATTACTATGTATTTAGGAAACTAAGATATCTGCTGTTCAAAATAAAAAAGGAAGCTGTCACAATAATTACCTTTGTTTTTCTGATATTTAGTAAGCTAAATGCTGTCATTACTTCTGAGCTTTTAATAGAACCTAGATGTATTCAAGCAAACCCACATTATCTTTGGATTGCCACAGTCTTTCCTTATTTGGCTAACATTTTGAGATTCCAATCAGACTCCTATAAAACTTTAACGTGCACAAAAGCATCCATTTTGAGAAACTTCACAATCAGTTTACCTTCCATGTTTCCTAAGACTAAGCTAAATATATCTAGAGTTCACAAACAAAAGCAATACAATTTACAGTACTAATTTTACAAAACTTTTCTACACCTGAGAGAAGATGTGTGCATACCGGACAGAGGTTCCAGTACAATCCACTAATAGTCTTGTAGCACCTTAAACTACAAAATTAAGGTATAAACTTTCAGGGCATTCCACAGTGTAAAGCAAACACTACGAAAGCCCTAACACAAAATAAGAACAAGTGTTGGAGGGGGGCAGGAAAGGAATTCGACTTGCTCCGAAAGGGGACGAGTTTTCACACTTATACATATTTGGAAAACGTGGGGACAGGAAACGGCAGCTATTCATCAGTGGCAAGACGTATCTATACTTTCCAAGTATGGGAGACTATCACCCCATCGCTGCCCGAAATTAATCCTTTCGTTAAGCGAAGGAACCTACCCTGTCCGTAAGTCGGAAAGAACCCTTCGCCCCACAGGAACGAGGCCCCGCGAAAGCCCCGCATCTCAGTCCCCCCCAGCCCAGCGTGTGAATGAACAGCAGACCCCCAACCACCGCCGCCTGCCACGAAAAAGGCAAAGCAAGGCCCAACTTAACCGCCAAATGAGGCGAACAGGCAGGCAGTCACCCTCTTCAACAAAACACAACATTCCTATAGCACAAACAGGGATGTGCGCTGCTGGCCTGGCTCCCCTCTCAGGGCCGGGCGGAAGGAGAGGCGGCAAAGTGAATCCCCGACTGCCAAGAGGCAAAGCCCTCCACGGCGTGCCCGGAGGAAAAAGGTTTCTCGCTCGGTCCGGAGCCTCCCACTCCAGCTATCCAAGGAGGAGGAGGAAGAGGGGGCGGCGGCGGCGCAGGCCTCGGCCTCATCCTCCAGAGGCGGAGGCGCCTTCCTAGCCTCAGCCAAGCTAGGCCCAGCCGCGGGCGGCCGCGCAGGCAAACACAGACCTGGTGCAGCGCGGTGAGTCCGTCCACATTGGCGTAGTTGATGTCGGCGCCGCGCTCCAGCAGCCGCAGCACTTCCTCGGTGTCGCCGCTCGAGCAAGCGGCCAGGAAGACGGCGCCGTCGTCGAACTTCACCTTGGTCTTCTTGCGCTTGACCACGGGCGGCTCCTGGTCGGTCTCGGAGCCGATCCAGCGCTTCAGCTGCTCGTTCCGTTTCTGCTTGGCGTCCGCCATCTTCATGCCCTGTTCGGCTCTCGCCCCTTCTCCCGCTCGTTCGCTCGCTCGCTCGCTCGCCTCAGCGGCGGTGTTCCGCACCCAGAAAGAGGAGGAGGCGGAGGAGGAGGCAGAGGCGAAACAGAGCGCCGCCTGTATCCCACAGGGCACCGCGCAGCCGCACACTCGCTTCGCCCCTCCCACTCGGAGCACCGCCCTAGAATCCCCGCGCGCCTCTCCAGCGGAGAGGGGAAAGCGAAGAAGCCGGCTTCTTTGACATAAATCTCGCGAGAGCGCTGAAGAAAGGAGCGGCGGCGACCGCGAGCGAATGAAGTTCAGCTTTGGGCGAGAGTTGAGCCAAAGGGCGCTCGCAGGCTCAGTCGCGGGAAGGCGGGCGAGCGCGAGCGGCAGACCTTCCTGTCGGGGGCGGAAGGCAGACCGACGGGCTGCTCGTTGGCGCAAAGCGATGCGGCTCTGGAATTCGGGCCAGCCCGACTGAAATGAATGGCACTTTCCTTCCGAGCGAAACGCTCGCACGGTGGCCTACTCGGAAGTAAGCTCCGTTGACTTTAGCGAGACTTAGTCCTGAGTAAACACGGGCAGGATTTCCCTGTACGTTTAATTCTTTCGACTTGGATCGTTCGCCGCGGAGGCTCATTCCGGCTGCTCTATGTGAAGCAGAGCACAGACAGGAAGAAGTACCGAGGAGGGCGAAAAGAAGCCGCTACTAGCCTCTCCCTCCTTCGGGCCCTCTTCGCAAATGCGGCTTACATGTGTTACGGTGTTTCCCGTGTGATAAATTCCAGAGGAATAGCCGCCTACGGCGAACACAAAAGGGTCATCTTGAGGTACCTTAAAAACCTAACAAGGGCGATCAATGTCTTACTGCCTCAATAAATCAGTCTTTTAAGGTGCTACAAGGTTCCCGCTGTGTCCTTTTTAGTTATTGGAATAATAGTGAATTTGTGAGCAGCATATAATAAGATACGAAAGAAACCAATCAACCAACAGATCATCATGTTCCTTTTCGAATGACAAATCTAACTGTGGAGAGAGTTGGACCGAAATCCTGGCTGTACCTATGCTTCAGTAACCATTATAGGATATATGTAAGAATCTGCTGCACTTGTTCATAGGTATAATTAGTGCTCATGGGATGCTAGGCATGTTTACTCAGAAGCCTCTCTGTGTTCACTGAGACTTATTCCCATGTCAGTGTGCAAAGTCACTGAAGCTTTACCGAGTGTTCTCTTGCGCCTTCTTTTCAATGCCAAGGGTGCACAGAAGAAAGATCTAGATTTTGGAGAGATCTCTCGATGATTTGCAATTTCTGACTCCCAGCTATTTAGAGCAGCAACAAGATGGCTCTCTCACCAACATCCTATTTTTGAAATGAGAAAAAGCTTGGGGTAACTAGGAGTGGATTCTTGAACAGCGAAACTGTGAACTTCCCTCAGTTGAGAACTCATTTTTTGACTTAGTTCTTTTATTCTAATTGTAAATATTTTTCACCAGGTTACATTGGTTGATCGTAAGAGATCTACTGTTTGTTCGTTTAATGGCACTCCAATGCTACCCACTCCATCCTAAACTGCCAAACAGCACACCTACACATGGAGATGGTCCAAAAGTGAACAGATTTACTTGAAAAATAAAGTGTTAGATAGACTTACTTCCAAGGTGTAAGGTTACTATCCTTTCAGCAATTACTTTTTCAGCATGCAGTTGCAATCATTGATTAAGTATTCAAAGATTTGAATAAATAGAGTTGAAACTTTGGATCATCTAATAAGGTCTTTCTAATTAAGCACTAGTATTTTTTACATGTATGCACATTCATAGAAATTTAATCAACTGAAATATAATTACATCAATTAAGATTTTCATAACTGAGTGACAGCTCTAACTGAAAGCAAGCCAAACTGAAGTACGGGACACTCCTTTCTGTCTATGTAAATATAGACAGGATAGCCCTCTTGGTGTCATGTGTAAAAATATCTGACATGTGGTAAACCAGATGTCAGGAACCTCTTTTTGGAGGAGATTTTTGGGAGGCACATTCAAGAAATAGGTGGGGGTGCAGGCAAAAGTGGTGGAACCAAAAATACAAGAAATAAAAACCCACACACAGCATATTGTACTTTAAGACACCTATTGCAAGTAACTAATTCTAGAAGAAGCAAGTGAACTTTATCGAGTGTTCATTTATTTAATTTGGTTTTAAATTTTGCATGGCAAGCTGTTTCTGATGTTTTGATCTGATGTATTTTATATTGTAACCGGTCAGTCCTAGAGGAGATCAACCCTGACTGTTCTTTAGAAGGCCAGATACTGAAGATGAAACACATTTTGGCCACCTAATGAGAAGGAAAGACTCACTGGAGAAGACCCTGATGCTCGGAACAATAGATGGCAAAAGAAGAAGGGGACAGCAGAGAATGAGGTGGCTAGATGGAGTCACTGAAGCAGTTGCTGTGAGCTTGAGTGGACTCCGGGGGATGGTGGAGGACAGGAAGGCCTGGAGGAATGTTGTCCATGGGGTTGCGATGGGTCGGACATGACTTCATGACTAACAACAACAATAGTATTTTTAGTGTACTGCTGTAAACCACCCAGAGAGCTTCAGTTATTGGCAATACAGAAAATAGAATACGATGGAAACTGCACAAAAACTACCAAATTATAAGAGGCTGGGCAAAGTGGGGTGGATGGGGGTGAAAAGGGGAAAGAAGTGTGAAGAATGCATATGGGCCGGAGTGGGGCCCAGGTGTGAGGTTCCCCAACCTTGTACGAAACCATTGAAATCCTCAGTAAAGCACTCAACTATCAAAAGATCTCAACTACCTACTCCAAATTCTAACCAGAGTAAAATATTTTAAATTAAAACTTACAAACAGGTTGCTGAGCCTCTCTGGCAAGGGAATTGCACAGTCATGGTTCAACCACTGGAAATATCTTGGAATAAAAGATTTTCATTAGAAAAGTACGTTTCCATAGAAACTAAGTATCAAAGTGCTATTAATATTACAATATTCTTCTGTGTTTGTAGGGAACATGTTTGATCTTGGCAGATGCTAAGAGGTGTGTTCAATGGTAGAATTCTTGCCTGTTATAAATCAAACTTAAGTTCAGTTCCTGGTTCATAAAGGAGACCTTATTTTGAAAGCCAGTGTGGTATTTTCAAAAACAATGTTAGGTGCAGAAACCCAGACTCAGGTCCCTTACACAGGCATAAGCTAATTGCATTGGCCCTAGACAAGGCACTCTCTCAGTTTAACCTACCTCACAGTTTACTGTGAAATGGTTACCTAGTGTAATTATTTGTCTACATAGAAACATCTTGTAGAAAGTGAGAGGAAACTTTACTATGTGCCCTGCTTTGGTCTTGCAATCACTTTTCTCCCTAATTATCTGAATAAATGTCATCCTTTCTCTTATCTTTAAAATCAGTTGCATCAAGCTAGAGTGAAGTCAGGATTTCAGTTAATCATTCCCTTTCCTGTCTGCCAATATTTAATAAATATGAGGTAAATAATACCTATCCAATTCTTAGGAAAGGAGCTAGAACTCATTTTGCTTGAAATTCGCCAAACATTAGTAATACAAACATATTACTGAACTTTGCTCCTAGATCCAAAGAGACGTATAACCACTGAGATACTGCTTCTCGGGAATAGCATCAAGTTAGGTAGAGAGACATCCTGGATCATCCATCAGGCAAAATATGAACAAAAGCTTGCTTCTCCCTACTTTCCAGGAGGAACACTTGGCCTGCAGTTCTGGAACAGTGGAAGCCCATCCATTGACCAAAGGAACAAGAGCCACCAATCATTGTTAAAGCAAACATACCCACAAGGGTCATTCCAGCTAGAGATAAATGCCTATTTACTTCTTTAGTCAGCCTTTGAAGAACCAGTTTTCCTTGACTACTTTTTCTTTGCCCTTGTGCATCCAGACAGGGCAACAGCATCTTATCTCCTTAGTTACAAGCCCAGTGGCAGAGCCTCTTTATTGTTGGCCACAATTTTCAGGAACATGAGTGGGGTTCACCCTTCAAAGTGACATAGAATTAATTTTGGTAGACACCATAAGAATGCAGTTAGGCTGCAAATCCTGTACACAACTCTACTTTTACAGCAGTAGACTGCAGCCTCCATCTCCTTGCTCTAACCCTGCCCTGTGTGTCAGAGCAAGTAGTGACCAACTAAAGCTTCAGATCTGTTTTCCTCCTGCTTTCCTTTAGGCACAAAGAGAGGCAAACAAAGAGTAGCACCTGAGAGAGTAGGCAGGCAGAAGGATCACTAGAAATTCACAGTTTTCATTTAGAAATTAAAAGAAGGTGCTTGTTAAAGGAATATAAGACAAAAAGGGGAAGCCCCTTATTTATTAACAGTAAATCAACAGTTAAAATTATTTAACAAAAAATAAACAGAAGTTTAAAAGCTTCCTATGATTCCTTTCTCCAGAATGAAATACATACTGGACAGGAGTCATCTAGAGAGTTTCAGTATGCGCAGCATCTTTGAGTGTTCACAAGAAGGTGGGACCAGAGAAATAAAGGACCACATCCCATTTTTATTATGTGCAACCAGGGTGAATGCGAGTGAATACCCAGCCAGTTTTACTAATTGTCAGAGTAGCGCCTCAGCAGAAAGACTCTGCTCACCTTTTTGGATTGAGGATAAGAATGGTAACAAGCTGATTGCTTCATCCTCCCAGCCTTTTTTGCAGTCATTGCCACCAAATTTAATTTGGTGCAGGCAAAAGCCCTGTATTTTCACACAAGATTTGTGGGGATCATATGCCTTGCTTAAATGCTAATGTGTGTGCTCCAAAGCTTCAGGGAGAATCATTTTGACAGTGTGTATTTGTTCACTTGTTTTTTGCAACCATCAACATTTAGCAGCAGGGGATGTGGTTCCAGAGAGTGGAAATTGGCTCACCCCTAAACTAGGAAATATTCCAGAGAAAGCCCTTTAATCGCTTTTTAAGCTAGAAAGATGTTTTAAAAAGGAAAAGCTTTAGCAATCTCTAGCAGACTTGATCCAACAAAAAGCATTCTATTTTGTGAAACTAGAAGCCCTGGCAAATACATGTAGTTCTAAGTATAGATGCTAGAGCATCCCCGTTAAGGATGTGTGTAGTATTTA